GTTGGTCCCCCCCCCCCCATCTGAGTTGGGGAAAACTGATTGAAAGCAAGGCAGACATTCGGGGGGGGCAGTAGTGTATAGCTGTGATAAAAGCACGGTCGAGCTGGTTGGCTGCCACAGTACGTGTCATGGCAACTGGTCCTTCCGGTCGTTCTGGTCCCTTGGCATATATATATATAGACTAGAGGCCCAATGCATGAAATTTGTTTAAGGGGCTTGGTCCTCACATCCCTGGCTGCCTTGGCCCTCACAGCCACGGCTTCATCTGGATGGTTGTTCTGCTGTTCAGTCTAATTAGCATATTAGCTCTTTATTATATAGGATAGCTTGCAGGTGTAACCAACTACCCCCAAACTTAATAGCTTAAAACATCAACAATTGATTTAGCTTATAATTCCATGGAGGGACAATTTGGTCTCAGCTGGATAATTCAACTGACCTGGGCTGTGCTCACTCAGATGTTTGTGATTAGCTTCCCGTTAGAGAGGCAACTCTGTTTCTGAGGGTGAGTTGACTGTCATCTGGGACAACAGACCAAGCAGGCCAATAGTCCCTTATCACCAAGAGGCTAGCCTTGGCTTGTTCACATGGATTTCAAGGTCAGTAAAAGAGCAAGCCCGAATGCACAGGCACTTTTAAAGCTTTGGCTTGGGTCACATTTGCTCCAGTCCAAATGGCTAAAGCAATCATATGGCCAGGCCCAGAGTCAATGAAGGTAAGTACCTTTTAACAAGAAGAGTTGCAAGTCACATTGCAAAAGGGTGTGGATAGAGGGGAAAAAATAATCTGTGGCCACTTTTGTAATCAACTGCAGATGGGAAAATGTAATGTTACCATGTTCCCTAAAAGAAAGGGGAATAGAAATGTTAATGAACAAAATTAATGAGTATAGTTAGTATCTCTAGAATGTCTAGGCCAGCTATCCACAAATCTAAGGATAGAAGAGGGTCATATTCAAGATTGTCTCTTACACTGAAAATCTAGTTACTCTCAAAGGAAATGTTAATGTTCTTTGGAAAGATGTTTTTGTTCTGCAGTCTATTTCCTATATATAATGTATCATTTGTTTACTAGAGGCCCGGTGCATGACATTCGTGTACAGCCTGGCCTGCACCCTCTCGCAGCCTGGGAGCCCTCGGGGGATGTCCGACTGATGGCCGTCAGTCCGACATCCTTAGTACTTCTTCAGAGAAGTTCCCACATCCTTAGCACTTCTTCAGAGAAGTTCCCACTGGTGGAGAGGTTCCCACCACCGCTGCTATGGCTGAGCAGCACTCTCCATGTGGGAGTGCACTGACCACCAGGGGGCAGCTCCTGTGTTGAGCATATGCCCCCTGGTGGTCAGTGCATGTCATAGTGACTCGTCATTCCGCTGTTTGGTCTATTTGCATAGCCTTTTATTATATAGGATTGCTGTGTAACAAGCCGATCCATAACCTAGTGGCTTAAAAGATTACTGCTGGAAAGTCTATGGGTCAGATGGGCAGTTCTGCTGATCTGGCAAGGTTCTGCTGATCTTGGCTGGCATTGTTAATGCTGGAAACTGCATGATCTAGGAAGGCTTCACTCTGGTCTGGAGTTTGGCTCCTATGTGCTGAAATAATGGGAATGACTGAGCCATGTGTCTCATGTGTCTCATCACTCAGAGGCTAGCTAGAGCTTATTTACATAGTGGCAGCATGTCAA